AAAAAAAAAAAAAAAAAAAAAAAATCCAAGTAGAATCAATAAAGAAGTACCAGCACCAATCTGGTGTGACTAAATTCAAGCTTCAATTTGGTTGGCTGAGAGATGAAGGTACTACTTGCTGAAAAGCTGGTGTTTAATTGAGCGAAGATGTAAAAATCAATCAGACCTTTAATCTGGGGCAATGTGAATATTTTGGGAAATGGTAATTCACTTGAAAAACATGTACCACATGAATCGCAAGAAAATAGAAGAAAATGGATTAATTTGTAGTAAAAGAAAACAAATTTGAATGGAATTCGAAATTGATAAAAGTAACCCAGCTGAGGCGTGTTGATCGGCCGCGTTGTCTTGGTTCAGGATAGCGTCAGTGTTAGCTTTAATCGCCATGAAACTCAAGACATATTTTGGACTTCTTCTAGTGGCGAGTGTATTGTGCACCGCTTTTTGGGCTTTTAATTCAAGAGTTATCCAAACGGAGCTTTTTATAAATCCGTCCTCAGTTCTACAAAGATATTCCCGACGAATGGAGGACATTTGGAAGTAAGTACTAGAAACATATATGTTGTCGTATTATATAGCTGGCACACGGGTTTTTGATTTGATATTCCTATTGTATTTTTGGTTACTACCCGCATAAATTTATAAGGGATTTAAAATTCTCTTACGATATATATCAAGATCTATTAAGCTTTGGAAACGTAGTACATCAAAAACTGTCTGCTTTAAACAGTTAAGTATAAACATTTTCACTGCTTTAGGTAAACACGTGTAAGTGAAAAACGTGCATATATCAGACAAGCCTGGTTTTAAACCTTTATGTTGTTAAATATTGAAAGGAACTTTTCCCTTCTTTTTCAAACTGTAAGCCACATTTAGTCTATAATGAAACTTGATAGATATTTTCCCTTAAGTAGTCAGCATGTATTCCATATATAAGTGCAAAGTACCTATTATTAGGGGGAATTAGTTTTCAGTTAAGAGTTAGTCAGCAAATCCCCTGCCTGTCATTTCTATTAATTGATCCCTTAACAGCAGTTGTTGGTATGTATCTTTACTGTTATTAGCCTCTTGCTGTCGGTGTTTTTTTAACTATGTGTATACATATATATATATACAGTTACACTTGATTGCAAAAAGGTTGTAGTATACATTTATACATATATCTAATGAGATGCAAGATATTAAATGAGACGCAAAATTTAAAAAGTAATTTATTTGGTCTTTTTTATCTTCTGTTATATCAGAGACATACGTATTGCATAAAGTATAGTTAAAAATGTATTTTCCACAAAATGTAGTATCTAAGCAGTCGTATTCAAGCATGTTTTACGTTCTGCATCTCATTTGATATCTTGCATCTCATTAGATATATGTATAAATGTATACTACATGTAAAACATTTTTGCAATCAAGTGTAAAAAAACCAAGCATATATGTATATATATATATAAATCCTATCATCTGATCATCTATAAATGCCTTGAGAAGACAATAAATTTATTACTCTATCTACACATATATATATGCTTCAATAGTGAGTATGTTTCAATGTTTACTATATTATGTGGTTCCTGCATCAATAAATATTGGACATTTCATAGATTACGATTCATCGCTATTACCCGGTCCAATCCGCTCCCTTAGTACTTAAACCACTATCTACTACCTGAATCTGTAACGTCGTTTTTTAAAAAGCCTAATTAACGCCATTAATTTTGGACTGCCAAAGGATTCTTAATCATCTATTTTTAAATGTATATATATATTCTTCACATGTTGCACTTTTTAAGGCAGGCTACTTTTCGTTTTTTTTATTTCTCTAATGAAAATTTAAGATCTCTATTTGATAATGGCTCTATATATAGTAAGTAAAACAGGGGTGAAATTGAGTTTTAGATCAGTTTAGACGAACGTTTCGTCATGCGTCACCAATCGAAATCATCAGCTATGGGCCAATAATATGTAAGCTGAAAGGGGTGCCAATACTCAAAATGATTGGCAAAGATATTTATTTTCTTCCATTGATATTTCGCAGTTGTATATAAAAAACGCGTGGACGGAATCACAGAGTAAATATAAGCTAGGGACTCAATTTCGTTACTAATGACAAAATTAGATATATATCTTAATAATGAAGTTGCAATTGCCACTTTCATGCAACTTGGATACCAGTATGTAATTAAAAGTGATGTATCTAATAATGACAATTTCAGGTAGACGGGTGACTATTCTTTGTAGTGAGGACCGCCTTTGAAAATGAAAAAAAAAAAAAAAAACTGATAACAACAACAAAACAAGAACAGCATAAATAAATAAATGGATAAGCCTACCTGAATTGTTTAAACAGGAGCTATTCGAACGTAGTTTTTTTTCTTTATTTTATTTTATTTTTTTTCGCAAAAAATAATGGTCCCTTTCACAGTTCCCTGCATCATCGAAGCGACACGAGCGGCGTGCTCGTAATGATAGAGACCTTTTTAAACACTTTTAACCATCATTCACGTCTCTATCATTGCAAGATCACCGTTCGTCTCGCTTCAAAGCAAAGGCACGGCAAAGGCACCTTTCAAGATGGTGCAGGACTTTTAAGTTGATACTAAATTTGAGGCTTCGTTGTGTGTAGGTGTCATTAAATATTCAGTTGTTGCTTAATCTACATATATTAGCTATTTCTGCGCGTAGAGCATTAAAAAACCTGGTTTATGTAGGACGAGTTGTCAACGTTGTTYTTACCAAATTTTAAAGTAAATGAAGTCAAGTTTAGCACGAAGACAAGTTGCTATTACTAAACCATAACTTTCGTTACACAAAGACAAAAATAGTCTCTTATGTATTTGCCTTTGTTTTTCCATGGTACCGGTTTTGCTGCATGTATTAGTTGTCTCAAACACATCATCATTGATTATATACATCTTCCTATCTATTGGCAGTACTGAGAGGCAAGCTGGGAAATCCAGTGGCTTTCGAACAGGAAAGTCAGATGATGACGATGAAGAAAGTCAAACGTCAAGTGATATCCAAGAACTTGTCCAAAAGTTGATGAATCAATCTGCAATCAATAAAAAAGAACAAGTAAAGATCGTCAGTCGAGTCAAGGAAAGCGATACGATAGAAAGGCAATATACTGACGTTAATAAACGAGTTTATATTATTATTATTTTTTTCACTTTTTTCATTGCCATAATAATCACAGTCACAGTCACGTCACTATCACCATCGCCGCCATCACCCCATACCATGTCCATCCCCATCATCATAATCATCATCGCTATCACCATCGCCATCATCATCCTATACAATGATCATTACCGTCGTTATATCATCATCGTTATCACCATCGCCATCGCCACCGTCACCCCATACCATGATAATCACCATCATTATCATCATCGCTATCACCATCGCAACCATCACCACATACCTGATCATCACCATCATTATCATCATCGCTATCTCGATCGCCACCATCACCACATACCATGGCCATCACCATCATTATCATCATCGCTATCTCGATCGCCACCATGACTAGCATAAACATCACCATCACTCCCATACCATGATCATCATCATCATTATCATCATCGCTATCTCGATCGCCACCATGACTAGCATAAACATCACCATCACTCCCATACCATGATCATCATCATCATCATTATCATCGCTATCAACATCGCCATTATCGCCATTGAGTAGCATTGTCAACGCCATCTAATCCCTTTTACCACCATGCTCTATTGACGATTACTAGTGCCATTTTTATCCATCACGTTAACAAACATTGACTGGCTCGTCCGTTTTTTTATTCCTGCAGTTGTATTCCTCAGGATACCATTGTCTTCCTCAAGACCCACAAGACAGGAAGTAGCACCCTTACCAATGTTTTCAATCGTTATGCAGATCTAAGAGAGCTCACCGTAGCATTGCCAATAATTGGATACAATAGATTTCGGTGGCCTCTTCATTTCCATTGGACGTCAGTCGACATGTACAGACTTGGTCAGAATTATGCGAATTTTTTAACCAACCATGCTAGATACTCCAGGGCATCTATGGATGCGATTATGGAACTTGACTCTCTATACATAACTATCTTGAGAAATCCGGTGTATCAGTTTGAGTCAATGTTTGATTACATGGAATTTAGTAAATTATTGGGGCTTCATAATGCTTCTGACCCAATACGTAGGTTCTTATTGAAGCCATACGAGTATCTTCGTAATATGACTATCGCCCAGAGAGGGTTCCCGGAGACTGCAAATCTAATTCGAAATGGAATGTTCTTTGACTTAGGATTGAATCCACGCAGCTATGATAACAGAACTTTGATTATGAAGGAAATAGAGAAGATTGATAAAGAATTCTTCTTGGTGTTGATAATGGAATATTTTGATGAAAGTCTAGTTCTAATGAAAAGAGAACTGTGTTGGGATTTGGAAGATATTGTCTACGTCAAGCAAAACCAAAGACATAGCAAGAAAAGTGAGATGTTAACTCCCAGTTTAAAAGCAATGATTGAAAGATGGAACGGTGCTGATGTTCTTTTATATCGCCATTTCAATAAAACATTTTGGAGGAAAATCAAAGAACATGGGGATGACTTTTATAAAGATTTAAAAGAGTTTCGAATTAAAAACCGTCAAGTACAGCAAGATTGTCTTTCCCCAGTGGCAGCAAAAGAAAGAGCTTTCAAACTAACCAAAGAAGTCAGGAAGCTGCAACTAAATCCTCTCGTTTCGAATTTTGACAGATATTTCTGTGACAAGATATTGACAAACGAGGTTGATTATCTAAAGTATTTTCGCTTGAAATTTAACCCGATATTTGGATATCAGAGACAGTTAAAACTGGAACGTCTTCCTCAATTGGAAGCAGGACAGAAAGATCAATCGAACCAGCAACCCGTAGTTCAATTCCTTTGGAGTTCCAAATGAATATTCTATTGAAAAGAAAATGTTGTCACACTTTTTTATGTGTTTCATTTATATGGACTATGTAAATAAAATCTAAAATTGTATTGCATGTTTTAAATGAAAACGGATCATGCTATGTTAACGGCTTGTTAACGGGGACGCCGGCAGATCGGGAACAAACGTTTTATTTATCCATATGACCGATCACTCTGCGTAACTTTTGACTCTGACGCTATTTTTAAAAGTAGCTGTGAAAATCCCTTTGGAGCCGTCTTTATTTACATAATTGCTATATATTTGCATCTTTCTCAGTTTATTCAATTCTGTAGACCTGAAGATATTGTCGTCTATTTTTCTCTGGTCTTTATATTAAATTGTCTATCACAAGTTAATTTGATTAAGGTGTCTTTATTCTCTTCATCAATTTAGGCGGGGACCGTTAATATTCTTAATTCAATAAAGGTACAAGGGTTAAGTATCGGAGGCGATAGCCTCGAAAAAAAAATACTCCAATACGCGATGAAAGACTTCATCTTAAAATATGATTCTGGTAATTTAATTGTGATTAAATACCCATTTTATTATTAAATTATATTTTATCAGTTAATAATTAAGATCAGCTAGTTCTGAGGCGTAGTATATTCTGCTACTTGCAAATGCAAGCGCAAGCAGTGTTCACACGTGAAACTCAAACAAGGGCAGATTAAGATACGCAAGCGGAGTAGTACTGGCTTACATAAAAAAAATGATGTTGCGTTTGCGTTACTGTAGTTCACACGTAAATCTGCTGCTTGTGTTTGCTAATAATAAGAGTGCTTTGCTGTAATTCACAGAACCTTTGCTTGCGTTCTCCGGTTCACACGTGAGAAACGCAAACGCGCAAATGCACAATTAAGCAAAGGAATATAACTCCTCAAAGCACAGCAAGTTTTTTATATCTTTCATAAAATACAAATTACAATAACGGTTATTTTAGATACGAATGAAGCAACTGAAAATGTACACGCGTGCTGTGTGCCCTCATACTGAAAGCACGCGCTCCCACCCAATCAGAACGCGAGTTTTATAACAGTTATTTTATAAACAAATTTGAAGAGCTCGCATTACTTTATTCATTTCATTTATATCCATTTTTACTTACATGATATATTGCTACTCAGCTCGATATTTTATTTTTGACCCTCGACCAAATATCAGGACTCGTGTTCGGCTTACCGAATCTAATTCACTAGATGACCGATCTTTTACGATGCCTTGGATTCCACAGACAGTGGATTACAGATTCCAATTTAGTCTGGATCCCGCATTCAAAGTGTTGGATTCCGGATTCTAAAGTAATATCCCCTCCGTCCCACTCATTAAACATTACCCCGTGCCTCCCCTCCGTCCCACCCATTAAACATCACCCCGAGAATGATGAACCTGACTGGACTCAACTGACATGCAGGAACCTGAAGAGGCGTTAGTTGCTGGTAAGATTTTGCTCATCTTTTTGCGGTATTGTTATGTAGTAGCAGTTTTTTAGGGATTTTCTTGATATTAGTATAGGAAGATAAAGCCCAACCCCAATACGGCTCTGAATGAATACCTTCTTGCTAGTGCAAGTAAAGTGTTTCATTTAGTTGTTTCCCTAAAGCATTTTTGCTTCTTTTTATCCGTTTTTTTAAAAATTCTTGAATGCAACCACATCAAAGGCGCTAAGACAGAGATCAGGACGGATTGGTTTATATATTTGCTGTTTGTTTCAGCACAGGGAGCCCAATTTAGATTAAAGTGAATGGTGAAAATAAATATTTGCGGTTTGTTTCAGTATTAGCATAGGAGTGGAATTCGGAAATTAAAGGGGAGATTTAATGGCTCATCTTTGCCGATGTGAGTCAAAGCACAAAAACATGGCGGCCATTTTGGTGCCGTTAACAATAATTGGATTCTAATGAATGAAGAAATAGAAATAGAAAACGCGCGCGCGTACTGTGTGCAGCCATAAAGCACGCGGGGTTTGGCAGAACACGAGAGAGGTGTTAGCAGTTGTTGTTGATATTATCTGAATTTAAAGATGAAAAAATAAATGATAACTAAATCAGATGGTGTTCATCTTTAAGCTGATTAAAGACAAGGCATTCGATCGAACCCTGAAACAACCTCTTGGCTGATCTAAGACAGGGTACGGCAAACTAACAGATCGAACCCTGAAACAACCTCTGGGATGATCTAAGACAAGGCACGGCTAACTCACAGATCGAACCCTGAAACAACCTCTGGGCTGATCTAAGACAGGGTACGGCAAACTAACAGATCGAACCCTGAAACAACCTCTGGGCTGATCAGAGCATGGCTAATTAAGAGATGAACCTGACATGTTGGGTTTAGCGAAGGGACATGAAAGGAGAGAGAAAACTCCCTCGCATCAAGGGATTCAAAAATGAAAATCATTTTCTAACGCGTGAAGCCGATTCCATGCCTGAAAACGAAACCACTTGACATTTGATTCCCTAAAAAAACTTACTCCAATAAAATACGTTAGGGGGGAGAGGGGAAGAGGGTTGAAATTTTTTATCAGATCATTGGGGAGGGGGGGCGGGGGAATGCAAACTTCAAGGGATGTCTTACAATTCTCTTTGTCCTTTAAAGATTTCACGATCCCCCTTCTAAAGTGACAGCCTTCTAAAATATACCAAGACTGCAGCAAACACTAATCCTTCATGGACTACAAATATAATAAATACTAATTCAATGTATGTATACCAGCATTTTCTGTATAATCGCACTTTATTCGTCGTTTCTTAGCTTTGATATTACATTCTCAATGTTTATTTTCCTTGTTATCTCTTTTAATCATCATCATCATCAAAGCTCAACGCAGCAAGAGCGGTAACACACAAGAGGCGCATACGGCGGTCCTATTGTACAGTTACAGCCATGTCCAAATGAATCCATCTTTTCAAGCAGAGTGCAGGCCTAGTGTTACTGTAATGCGATGTGTTGATCTATAGAACGAACGAACATTGGATGCTAATGACTTTCACATATAAAAAAATAAGTTTTGATAATAAGCACCACTACCGGAAAGACCAAGCAGGAATGTATTTTGGAAAATTTTACTGCTAGAAATAGAATGGCCCGTTTCCCAGATGCAGGATTCCTGTGGAATTTTAGGCATGAAAGAGCAGAGACTTTAGTTGCATTTGTTTACAAGACAAGAGAAACGTTTTTAGCGCTTTAAAACGCATTTTAGCTGTCACGCAAGCCAGTATTTCAAAAATCATAATAGCGCAGCGCACTGATTCTAAAAATAGCTTAAAGATTCGGACAAACATTGCATTCTGTTTAACCGCTAAGATGATTATACGAACCGATTTTATTATTTTTACTTAAAGTTACAATAATAACCCATGTAAACTAAGATCAACTGCAATCGGCTGTGAAAATAATCTGCTGAAAGTAAACTTGTAAGTTTGTTTGTCCGAATTTCGCCTTTGTCTTCGTTTTTATGACGTCACGACTGCGCTGCGCTATTTAAAACCCAATTTACTATCAAACATGAAGAACAAAGGTACCTCGGTTACGTTGAAATTATTTCCACATGCAAGTTTAATTGGTATTCGTGGAAGTAATTTTTAACATTTCACTCAACGATAACTTTAATTTCCCATTCGTATTTACATTTTAGCTATTCAGAATCGCAGGTTTTAACTGGATTTCATTCGTTATTGAGGTCTCCACCATAACGCGAGCAAAGCTTCACTTCTAAATAAACAAAGGAAATGCCTCGCTTCATGCCTAAAATTTCACTCCCGCTCAGTGAAAAGGATTATACCACTCTCTAATAAAGATGGATTCATTTGGACACCCTGTTGAAACGAAGCTGGGTCATATTTGATTGGACTTAAACATGCTAAACTATCGTCGCTACACACGAATCAATCCAGAAAACACAACCTAAAGCCAATCAACAATAACGTGATCTGGGTTGGCATGGCCTTCCGAGACGGAAGTTGGAATCGCAGGAAAAAATACGTCTGAATATTTTGCTTCCGTCAACAAAAAGTACTAGCTCAGACCACAGGGATCCCAAACAATTGGGAATTATATTGACAGAAGACAAATCCCAAATGTCTTGCATTGCTAGTTATCTCAGGTGTCAAGTAATTAAAATGAAACTTGGTATAAGACGGTTAAACAGATCTAATAGCCCATATCCAACAGTCAATTGGAAGCAAATAAGGGAAACAACAGAATTAGTGTACTAATACTAGTGTATGTCTATTAGATTGATTACTATTTATTAGTGGATAAATGTAATCAGCCATAGCGCTTTTTTTATTTAACTCGTGAACTCTTTTTGACTAATCAATTTTGTTATATAACTCAATATCAATTAGCCATTCAGAGGTTAAGGAAAAAAACTGGGTCGGGTTTGCATTGGAGTGTAGTGTGTGTGAAACTGTTCTAGGGGACGAAATAGTCGCCATATTGGAAATATGTCCCTAAAACAGTCCCACGATGCAATTCAATGCCAACTCGACCTAGTCTATTTCCTTAGCCACGGAATGGCTAATACAAAACTAGGTAGTAAGAGGTTCAACACACGGGAAAAAATCAAATAAATAAAAAAGTAAAACTCCAATTACCCAACTGGCATCTACAGTAGTGCTGAACCGATCTAGAAAATAGACGATATAACCGAGGTAGAACGATGGTAGGACGTCACAAGGGGTGTAAGACAAACCTTTTTTTCCAGACCTATTAGCTAACTTGTCAGTACCTTTCTTAGCATTTCTCCTCTGTTAGACATAAATCAGTTTCTTAGAGCCACTGCTAGTTCACTTTTCGCAGTACTTGGTTACTCAGATAGTTGCTATAGGCAGACCCTCACGAGGAGGGTCCTCTCACTAAAGCTTTGGCGCTCCTTGTAGTTGAAACAAGAGCCGTTGCTTTTTTACCTGTGCCAGACGGTCCAACACCATTGAATGGTGCTCGAATCATATCGGCATCACAACAGCTAATATCAATAGCAATGTTGTCCCATGATTACACACGGACCAGATGATATTATGCCAAATACATCGACAATCTTAAGCCTTCTTCATTCGGGAAATATCCAAGCCCTTCACTTCCAAACCCTACTCCAGAAATGCAGATAACGTATCTCACAGATAATGACTGACAAGAACCGTGCAAGCATAACACCAACTTAAATTTTCGCACTGGGGCGGCATGTCTATACGAGTACGATGAAAATAACCTGGTATCTTTCTGACTGAAGAACGAGTAACGTCAGAATGTAATATTTCATACGGCCTGTTCTATTTACGTACTATACGATCATGTGTTGTTAATGCTTGTTGAATATTTTGCTAAGGTTCTAGTCATCTTCTGCTATGGAAACCAATGGTTCCGTCAGGTCCACTGTGAATAAAAGAGAGAGCGAAGAAAAAATGAATAATTCCCGATATTCATTACTATTCGAGACTTAGGATTGAAGCACCTCACCGATGCGACCCAGGTTCCATTCCCAGCGGGGCTCGAGGTGCGGGTATCTCTTATGCTTCTAGCTCTCGTCTCCGGTTCTCATTTTTTCTCCCCCCTCAAAAATCAACTTTATAAATTATAATATGACCTATTGGATGCTATACTATTACGAGGGTCTATAAGAAGCAGATTTTTAAAGGTTTTTTTTCACAGAAACTCTAGCAATCTATAGAAATAAAAGTTTAAACACACTCACAAATCATATACAAGTACGCACTTACAAAGGTTGGCGAATCACGTTATCTGGGAGTTTGATCTTATCTACCGATGCTTGCAGTGTCCAGGGTGGCGCTGCTCCTTCAAACTGTTCATCTGGAGCCGAGATACATGTAGCGCTGAAATAACGAGAAACCAAAACAAGGCTGTCATAAAATTAGACGTTCACATGAAAACGCCATTTTAAAACGCCAAGCCTGGCTTGATCTAAAAATGATATTATTTGAATTCATGGTAGAAAAACGCATTCCGAGATGAGTCTTTATAATGTGAAGCCATGCAACACAACATCTTACATGATCACTTTTACCATGATACTTGAAGGCAGGGATGAGATGCTCTATGCTGTTAGCCCGGCAATAAAAAGAATAAAAAGCCGCCATGTTGTGCATTTAACAAAAGATTCGTTATTAGTGTATTTTGTAATATCAACAAAAATGGCAGCCGTGTCGTTTGATATTGTTTTCTTCGGAATAACCAGATAAATAACTAAACAAAACGATTGAAGAACGAAGGAACTGTCGCAGCTGTACCATCATGGACAGAAAATGATACCTGACCATTAAACAAGTGCAAGCATCACTCATCTGTCCCTACTTAAGAAAGCAGTATCAATGATCTTTTCGTTATGTTGCAGGGACTTTATGTTATTGCTCACAATTTGCCTGAGGAGTGAGATTGTTTTCTTCTTTACTTACACGTAATTCCTTACGACTGTATACTAACCTGTCTGAATCTTCACTACCATCACAAGCTGATCCAAGGATTCTTGCTCTAATCAAGATAAAACACACAGACATTGTGTACTGAATAAGCCCTTCAAGTTTTATAGATACCCTGAAACAATCGTTGGGCTGATCAAAGTCAGGGCAAACTTCATGACAGATGGAATTCGAACTTGGCCCATTAGGTTTCATGGATGGAGGAAAACTCAAGAACCCRGAGAAAACTCACAAATCAAAGGAGTGACTTTATTCAAATGTGATTACCACAAGCGAGTAAAAGAGGTAAAGTTAGGTCTCTCCAGAATCCATGGGGCTAAGCCACTGGATGCTCGTGTCTATATGTGACACTACTGCTATTCCTCCCTCGATTAATTTGGTGGCAGGAGGGGAAGTGCACAATGATTAATACACATCCTTAACTGTAACGCATCAAAGTTGATTTTATAAACATTTATCCAAAACAATGGTGTTTGATTTTGGAACTCACAGTCATATGTATTCCTGTGCTTTGAGGGATTTTCTGGGTTCTCCGGTTTTCCCCCTCAGTCTGTAAAAGTGGTAGAGCACACTATGGAGTAAACCTCATAGCAGAGCCCTATTAAAGGGGAGTGATSGAAAATATTTTATTGAAAAATACATTGTTTTAAAGCTAGGAAGTACCCTAGTGCAGTATTGATAATAATTTAACAGTGTACACTTATGAACTAAAGTGACTCTCGGGGTAGTTTAACTTTAATTCAAGACTTTTCGATACAGTTGTACTGTTCCAGTTGACTCACCTTGCTTCAGCATATTGTGCTTGTCTCTCTGCTAATGATTTGATGACAGGTTTGTCTGTTTTGTCCTGAGCTGCAGATTCTGCTCTTGAGTCTTTACCTGAATCTGGTCTTTTCAGAATTCTCAGCTAAAAGAAACAAGAATCATTCATATTTTCTAGAAGTTCCTTTGGTATATAGGTTGGTTTGAACACCAAACAAACAGTAAGTAAATAAATAAATGAATGAATGGATGGATGGATGGATGGATGGATGGATGGATGGATGGATGGATGGATGGATGGATGGATGGATGGATGGATGNATGGATGGATGGATGGATGGATGGATGGATGGATGGATGGATGGATGGATGGATGGATGGATGGATGGATGGATGAATGAATAAAATGAATGAATGAATAAATAAATAATAAAATTAACAGTCAGTAATCAAACAATGTCTGCATGGTGAGAATTTGAAACTTATCCAAACATATTTCTGCCTTTCCAGCCATTTGACAGGTTTCATGGTCAAATAATTTGGATGAGCATTCACAACAACTAATGCTGCTGTAGCACAATCCACTTAATGATGTAAAATTGTTTTAATAGTGCTAGTAACTCAAAACAAAGAATTAAGATCCCCTACAATTAATCTGCCAAAAATGAGGTACCGTATGACCAAACTAAGACTAATTTGGCCAGTCATCATGACCTACTGTACAGTAGGTCATTAGACAGTTGAGTGTTACTTTTAGCCCTGTATGAAAATAAGGAAACCTCAAAAAGAAAATACTTAGCAATTAACATTATATGTACATGTACAGTAGGTCACTTTAACATTTCTAAGAAAAGAAGAGATAACTAGCTAAAACTAGTGTGAGCTGCATCGGTGTTTCTAATGAAACAGTAATGACAAAACTTGGTAAATTATACACGCCCGTGAATGGATGAAAAAACTACTGATGTTTCGGACGTTAGTCCTCTTTTTACGGTGAATAATTTACCTTTTTATTACCATTTCTAAGAAAGAAATCAGACTGTGCACTGTAAAATTGAAGAAAGTTGTGATTCGCACTTTCTTTTCATATATCATTCTGCTCCAGATATATTGAAATTTTGATATATTGATAAGTTAAAAAACCTAACCTGAGGTTTATATTGTGTCCTGGTGGTATCCTCTTGAACCAACACTGGCCCATTTGCTTGGACTTCAGCTTTCCTTAAAATATATTAAGATGATAAAATTATTATTTTAGATAATTATTAATAATGTGTGGTGACTGACCATGGTGATCCTATACTATAACCAAAGTTCATACYGCTTCTAGATTTAATTGTACATTTTTTGTAGTGGTTTATAGTAGTGCTAGCCTCAACTCACCATTGTGGTCTGAGTTTGGCGCCCCAGTGTGGGCTAAAACATATTTGTAGAAACATTGCTTTTGTTTTTGACAGCACTATGTCACTCTATGATTCCCACTTCTCACTTAAACCTAATGTGTAAATCTGCCTTCTACTACCTACATGTAAGAAATATATCAAGAATAAGAAAATATCTATGTGTTGCTACTAATGTAGTCTGATTAATGCCTTCGTTACTCCAAATAATGACAGCTTAAACTCTAGCTCTTCTTTTTGGCCTTCCAAAGAATGTAATCAGTCAGCTACAGTCCGTCCAGAATGTAGCTGCTTGGCTAAGAACACTCTCCAGTTCAAAGCATGATCACAGTACTACACTTATAATAAATCTACATTGGTTGCTGTACCTGTTTCTGAAATTAGTCTCAAAATGTTGCTCTTAACTTTCATGCCACTCAATGGTTAAGCTCCACCTTATCTTTCTGAATTGATTTCCCATTATTAGCCAAAACGTTCTATAGTTCCTTTGACATGTGTTAGAAACCCTTTGGACTGACATTCACCAAAACTCAATATTTTTCAGCTTATATTTCCACTTCTGTTTTAATAGACTTTTAGAGACTTAGATACTAGTAAACTATCCCAGCTGGGTAATCCAGTCTACCCTACCATCAGGGTCTTGTTGTTATAAATAAGGCTGAAAAATCCTGCTAAACTTGATAACTACAGCATGCATACRACCCACAAGGGCCAGACAGGTTTTCCAGCCCCCATCACATTACTTTTTCCAAAGGTTTTAGAGCGCCCAAGCAGGGCTGTGGGGGTCATATGATAAATGTACATACTTGGATTTTTCTTCTTTTTTCATTTGTAATTTGTTCCTCTCCTCCATCCGTCTTTCAAGTTCCTAAATGTGCAAATAATAACATTTGAAAACCTGACACATCAGTACAGTAATACCCCAAGACAGGAATAGAACTCAAGTAATGCGAGGGAAGTATGTTATAAAATGTTCTATGCAACCTATGCTATTGTTCAAAATTACAAAATGTACATTTCAATGATTTAAAAAATAAATGAAGAATTGTCTTAATAAATGAGTGAGTGAATGAATGATAAATGAATGAATGAATGAATGATAAATGAATGAATGAATAAATGAATGATAAATGAATGAATGAAT